GATACCTAGCAGTATAAACAACCCTACAGTTACTAGAAGTATGATAATCAGCATAAATTACATCATAACTACTGAAGGATAATTATAGGCAGCTTTATTATTACTATGATTATCGTAACCAGCACTCTGATTTTACACTGTGATAACCAATGTTATGATACCCAGCAGTATGATAACCAACACAATTATTATTAGCACTATTACCAGAACTGAAATAGCTGACATACTGCCATAACCAACACTACGATAGCTAGCAACCTGCTCTATTATCACTGATAGCAATGATCATGCTGGTTGTTGCGTTTGTGTTTCATGTATTTAGACGGTTGTGAAGTGGCTCACTTGAAGCAGGCTGCATTTATTATTGTAATTAAGTATTGTATTGTTGACCAAATCTATGTTTGGATATAAGGACTATCATTATCCAAAGAATCCCAAAGAACTGTACATTATTTAACTGCTTTTATGAGTTAGCGCGTTGTAAGTATTTGTCAGAAAAGAAACCACACGTGGGATTCCAGTCAGGGACCAATTTCACACCAGATGACTAAGTCTGGACAGTCTCTTGCTTAATAGTAATTAGTTTCACTCTGTGGTTTTGCTTTTTCCCTGAGCTGTGGTCTATATGTTGATGAAAGGAGCTAGCCGATATATTTCAATTTGTCTATATTGCTAAGCACTATAAAATCTAACGAATATAATTATCATCACACAAAGATTACTTGCATCCGAACTAATAAGCATAACCAGCAGAAAGTGCTTACTCAGAGATTTGCATCGGCTTGAAGTCATTTAAATATAGCCTTGCTTTCATTTCCTTGATTAGGTTGAAATAGAAGTCCTCATATTGTATATGGCATTTTTCTCATGGGTCTTGTCTTTGCTCTAACAGGACTAATAATGATGTGTGTTAAACCCGTTCAAGAGGAAATTGACAAAAGCCTCTAATTCTGCACAATGAATACATAACAACCCAAGTGTAAACACAGCAAACAGAGGAAAAATTAAGATAAATAACAGTCCCTCAAGTCCTTTATTTTGCACATTTGGATACTTAGAATGCATAAAATAGAGTGGGGGAAAAAAACATGTTTTATGACAAAGATTTGGATTTCTGCCTTAGCTTTATGAGTGTACGCTATTTTATTGTAAAACCCCAGGACTAAATTCAACAGCTTTAAGCTTTAAGCACATTAACATCTCTCTCTCTCTTTTTAACAGGTGGGGAATTACGAGTCCGGTATCCTGCAGATGAGGTACCCTGTCTGGCCACGTTATGGGACCTTCCTGGAGCCTGTGTCTGATAACCGTCACTTGACAGTGGCCACACTGGAGGAAAGGCCTTTTGTGATTGTAGAAGCTGTGGATCCTGTTACTGGCACCTGTCTCAGTAACACCGTCCCCTGCAGACGGCAGTCCAACAAGACAGAGACGTAAGAAATCGTGTTTTGGTCTTCACAATGCTTAAAGTTGAGCTAAAAAGTTAATTCTGAATCATTTACTCACCCAAACCTGTATGACTTTCTTTTGTGGAACACAAAATAAGATATTTTGAATAATGCTGTGGTCCAAACAGCATGAAATGAAAACATGAATTAAAACTGTGAATTTGCAGAATTACATTTAGATCACGCGCACATTGCATCAGATTGCCATTTGCGCGATGTTTTTTTGCAATGTAAAGCATTATAACCAATCACCTATATTTCTGTTGAGCTTATGAATGCAATGTCTAATCAGAAGCGTTTAGATTAGTCAGCGCTAAAAAAAACTTTGGTTGAGTGCACACGTTTACTGACTGAATTCTGCACACTCACGAATTCTCTCATCATAAACAAAGAAATGCAGAAAATGTGTAATTAAGAGATTCATTTTTTCAGCTTCAGTGATTATTATAGGAGTTTTTGCGTAGACTACTCAAAACACAAACAAATACAAAAACTGCGCATGGAACACGTGTTGTCAAACTGATGAATGCATTCTTGCAGAATAAACATATTAATTTATTACATATATATATATATATATATATATATATATATATATATATATATGCATATATATATATTTATGGCATATCAAGATGCTGATTAGACAGCATGATTATTGCACAGGTGTGCTTTAGGCTGGCCACAATAAAAGGCCACTCTAAAATGTGCAGTTTTACTGTATTGGTGGGTCTGGGGGGGTCCGAAAACCAGTCAGTATCTGGTGTGACCACATTTGCCTCACGCAGTGCAACACATCTCCTTCGCATAGAGTTGATCAGGTTGTTGATTGTGGCCTGTGGAATGTTGGACTCGTTTCTTTTAAGAGACAACTTTATTTATGATGCACTTTCAGCTTTACGACTTTGCAGACTGTTTACATTCACATACAGCTGCATTACACACTGCATGAAATGTAATTTTCAAAAATCCATAATAGGGGCACTTTAAGTGCTGGGTTCATTTTTTTTAGGTAGTGTATTCTGTAATGAATCCCACTGGAGGAAAGTTGTAGATGAACCCAAATGCAGATTTATTCTATTTAATGAGTACAAAACATAACTTGACAAGAATTGAAACCATGACTCACCTTCAGCAGTAAGGAAATAACATCAATACAAACTAACTAACTAAAAAGGTGCTTAAATACTTAGACAAAGGGAACACATGACAAAACCAACCAATAAGAACATGACACATGCAACCAAGGAACCAATCAGAACATAACACACGGACAAGGGCAGCACATGACATGATCACATAAGGAGCAAGGAAACACATGACAAACAGGAAACATGACAGAGAATAACAAAATAACAAAACCCAAAAACCAGCGTGACAGTTTGCATGTCCACTGACTGATGCACATCCAAATTTGGGTATTGATTCTTTAGTTTTTGTGGAATTCTAAAGAGTAGGGTGAGCATCATAATTAACACTATGATAATCAATACTATGATAATGAGCAGTATAAATTACTTTATGATTACTAGTACTATGATAACCAACACTAAGATAACTGTTACACTGTCTTAACTAGTACTGTAATATTCAAGACTTCAATCATAACTAGCAGTATAAAGTAAATAAATGTATGATTAATAGTACAGCGATAACCAGCACTATGACAACTGACAGTATCATAACTAGCGTTGTAATAATGAGTACTATGAAAAAGTACAAATGCCTTTTATGATTACTAGCACTATGATAACTGACACTATTATAACTAGTACTATTATACAGTATAAGCAGTACTATGATAACTAGCAGTATAAACAACCTTACAATTACTAGAAGTATGATAATCAGCATAACTGACATTACTACAGTAGGACAATTGATACTATGATAACTTGCATTATAGACAACTTTATGATTACAATAAGTATGATAATCAGCAATATGATAACTGACATTATCATAACTAGCACTGTGAGAATCAATACTATGATGACTAGCAGTATAACAACTTTATGCTCCCTAGCACTATGATAACCAGCACTAAGGTAGCCAATATTATCATAACTAGCACTGTGGTAATCAATACAGTGATAGCAGAATAAACAACTTTATGATTGCTAGAAGTATCATAATCAGCAATATGATAGCTGACGTTATCTTAACTAGTTTTAATATAATCAGTACTAAAACTAGCAGTATAAACAACTTCATAATTACAAGCACTATAAACAACACTATCATAATTGTATGATTACTAGCATGATAACCAGCACTATGATAACTGACACTATCATAACTAGTACTATTATAATCAGTACTATGATACCTAGCAGTATAAACAACCCTACAGTTACTAGAAGTATGATAATCAGCATAAATTACATCATAACTACTGAAGGATAATTATAGGCAGCTTTATTATTACTATGATTATCGTAACCAGCACTCTGATTTTACACTGTGATAACCAATGTTATGATACCCAGCAGTATGATAACCAACACAATTATTATTAGCACTATTACCAGAACTGAAATAGCTGACATACTGCCATAACCAACACTACGATAGCTAGCAACCTGCTCTATTATCACTGATAGCAATGATCATGCTGGTTGTTGCGTTTGTGTTTCATGTATTTAGACGGTTGTGAAGTGGCTCACTTGAAGCAGGCTGCATTTATTATTGTAATTAAGTATTGTATTGTTGACCAAATCTATGTTTGGATATAAGGACTATCATTATCCAAAGAATCCCAAAGAACTGTACATTATTTAACTGCTTTTATGAGTTAGCGCGTTGTAAGTATTTGTCAGAAAAGAAACCACACGTGGGATTCCAGTCAGGGACCAATTTCACACCAGATGACTAAGTCTGGACAGTCTCTTGCTTAATAGTAATTAGTTTCACTCTGTGGTTTTGCTTTTTCCCTGAGCTGTGGTCTATATGTTGATGAAAGGAGCTAGCCGATATATTTCAATTTGTCTATATTGCTAAGCACTATAAAATCTAACGAATATAATTATCATCACACAAAGATTACTTGCATCCGAACTAATAAGCATAACCAGCAGAAAGTGCTTACTCAGAGATTTGCATCGGCTTGAAGTCATTTAAATATAGCCTTGCTTTCATTTCCTTGATTAGGTTGAAATAGAAGTCCTCATATTGTATATGGCATTTTTCTCATGGGTCTTGTCTTTGCTCTAACAGGACTAACAATGATGTGTGTTAAACCCATTGAAGAGGAAATTAACAAAAGCCTCTAATTCTGCACAATGAATACATAACAACCCAAGTGTAAACACAGCAAACAGAGGAAAAATGAAGATAAATAACAGTCCCTCAAGTCCTTTATTTTGCACATTTGGATACTTAGAATGCATAAAATAGAGTGGGGGAAAAAAACATGTTTTATGACAAAGATTTGGATTTCTGCCTTAGCTTTATGAGTGTACGCTATTTTATTGTAAAACCCCAGGACTAAATTCAACAGCTTTAAGCTTTAAGCACATTAACATCTCTCTCTCTCTTTTTAACAGGTGGGGAATTACGAGTCCGGTATCCTGCAGATGAGGTACCCTGTCTGGCCACGTTATGGGACCTTCCTGGAGCCTGTGTCTGATAACCGTCACTTGACAGTGGCCACACTGGAGGAAAGGCCTTTTGTGATTGTAGAAGCTGTGGATCCTGTTACTGGCACCTGTCTCAGTAACACCGTCCCCTGCAGACGGCAGTCCAACAAGACAGAGACGTAAGAAATCGTGTTTTGGTCTTCACAATGCTTAAAGTTGAGCTAAAAAGTTAATTCTGAATCATTTACTCACCCAAACCTGTATGACTTTCTTTTGTGGAACACAAAATAAGATATTTTGAATAATGCTGTGGTCCAAACAGCATGAAATGAAAACATGAATTAAAACTGTGAATTTGCAGAATTACATTTAGATCACGCGCACATTGCATCAGATTGCCATTTGCGCGATGTTTTTTTGCAATGTAAAGCATTATAACCAATCACCTATATTTCTGTTGAGCTTATGAATGCAATGTCTAATCAGAAGCGTTTAGATTAGTCAGCGCTAAAAAAAACTTTGGTTGAGTGCACACGTTTACTGACTGAATTCTGCACACTCACGAATTCTCTCATCATAAACAAAGAAATGCAGAAAATGTGTAATTAAGAGATTCATTTTTTCAGCTTCAGTGATTATTATAGGAGTTTTTGCGTAGACTACTCAAAACACAAACAAATACAAAAACTGCGCATGGAACACGTGTTGTCAAACTGATGAATGCATTCTTGCAGAATAAACATATTAATTTATTACATATATATATATATATATATATATATATATATATATACGTAGTGTATGTGCACCTTGCCAGTGCTAAGCTACAGCGGTCATTATCAGCCAGCCACACAACACAGTAAACTCCTGACAAGCATGCTTGAGCACTTTATCAGTGGATAATTAAGGAGACCTGGGCTCGTCTTAAGGGATTGAGTCTTTATCATATTACTGAACAGAATGGGAAAAGGTGACTGTCTTAACTGTTTTGTTGCTCTTCTGTTGGATAGAATTCTGGTTGCAGATGGTCAGGTGTTGCTGTTATTTTGAGATGCCAGATCGTTGCAATAATGAATCAGATAAAACAATGTGAGACAGATGTCAACATGGAAAAAGGAAACAAAAGAAGCAAAAAAGGAAACAGAATGATAAAGGAAATTCATAATTTCACAAGGGGCGCCGGTAGCATGTGCAGAAAATGGTTAAAGTGACCACACTATTCATGCAGTGCAGTTAGGGAGAAATTAAAAGTACAGGTGCTACTAACTATATGTTTTTCAGTATGCAGCTTTGGGAAGTCTGATTAATTTGAGTGATTAATCATAAAATTATTCATTTTATTTAAAATCTGTCATGCTATCGGAGCTATTTGAGAATTATATTATATTATACTGTATTATATTGACTTCTAAAACCTCTTTTAGTTTATGCTTTATTCATCTGCCACAAAAATGTATTTGTTACTTTAGGAAGTACTTTTCTGCCCTATTTTTATTTTTAGCAAAGATTGATATAGTATTGTAAATAATTGTGCATATATAGTACTGCAAAAGTCTTAAGTATTTTCACAAAAAAAAAGGTTTTAAGCCAGTTATTGATATAGTTATATCAGTTTACATTTCCAAAAATTTTGCCATTAATTGTAATAATCCAGTGAGATTTTTGTGCAGAAGGAGCACAGCCAGTGCTCCACACAGAGATCTGATCTAACCATCATCCAGTCTGTCTGAAATGAAGAATCAGAAACAGAGAAAGACTAAATCCAGAGGAACTGTGGCAACATCTCCACAATGCTTGAAGAAACCTTCCTACAAAGCTACAGTACCTGAACAACTATGCACAAGTGAACCTAGGACTAAAGTTAATTGATAAATGAAATCTATTTATTGGTTGCACTTTATTTTACAGTACATGTACTTACAGTGTACCTACCTAAGAAAGTCCTGGTAATATAAGGTAACTATATGGGGTATAGGGTTAGGTTTAGGGGAAGTTTCAGGGTTAGTACCTAGTTATTACCTAGTAATTGTAATTCCTTTAATAAGTTCATAGTATGTACATGAGTAACAGGACTGTAAAATAAAGTGCTACCACATTATTTTTTAAAGCATCCTCATTTTACAGCATTTTTACATTTAAGTGCCTAAAACCTTTCACAGCACTGTAGCTTTGCTGGTAGGTTTCTTCAATTGTCTTGTAGACGTCGCCACAGTTCTTCTGGATTTAGTCTGTCTCCATTTTTTTCTGAATAATTTTTTATTAATTGACAGCTTGTTGTAAAGCATTAGGATCAGTTGTCTGTTTTTGGTCCTTCACAACCTGGGAACTGCTTGTGTTCAGCTCTGGTGAAGATAACTGGATACTCACAGGACAGTGTCTCACCTCATGAGAACTGAGTGGTAATTAGCAGAGCTTATTAAAGCTGCGCTGGACTCAGCGGATGGTCTCAAACCCCTCACGCTCTGCCTCCCCTCTCCAAACACACACACACACACACACAGTGTTGTGGTAGGTCCATTAACATGTTATTTAAGAGTCATTCCCTCAGGATGTTCTACTCATTACTTTGAGGCCAAACCTCAAGAGCTCCCGGAAACAGCTGAACAAAACAAAGCAAATTAGCATGGATGGGAAATACTTACAAGATAATTTAACAGTGGCTGCAAAAAGTATTTGGACATTTACGATATACTTACACTGTCTAAATGTCATTGCATTGCTGTCCAAATCTGTTTTAAAGGGGCTGGGCTGTTTGTGTTGTACTGTATGTCTGCTGATGCTGTGACTGATGTCAAACAAATAGTTGTGGTTTATGGTGATGATTGCATGTGCTATCGTGTGGGTGGGAGTTTAGTGTGACTCATTGCCTCTGATCTCCTTTATGCTACACACCATTAGTCAAGAGGTTACAGGGAAGGTTAGAGAGCGTAGAGTGTCATTAGAGCGCTCTGTATTTTGCATCTCTCTTCCTCTCTCTCCTTTTCTTTCTCTCCTTTATTCATACTTTTTCCATCTTTATTAGTGCTGCTTTCTAAGGCATGTGTTTGAACAAAGTCATAAATTTTGGTAACTTTTCCTGCACATTTTGCACTACAGAAATGAATGTTACCTCAAACCATCTAGCTTGTTGAGGAGAGCTGTGTAATACCAGAATATCACAGAGAATTAAGGTGGGACTTTTGATTTGGGCCAGAAAATCCTACCAGCCACCTTGCTGCGGCCTGGCAACCATTCAGAACACCCTAGTAACCCCCCAGCAAACTGTTACAACCACCTGCACCCAGAAAACCATCGCAACCTCCTGCCAACACCTTAGCAACCATTCAGAGACACTAACAATTACCCAGAACACCTAGCAACCACCTAGCAATGCTCTAGCAACCATTCAGAACACCCTAATAACCATCCAGAAAACCATTGCAACCTCCTGCCAGCACTGAAGGAATCACCCAGAACCTCCTGGAAACCACCTAGAAAACCCTAAGAACACCCTAGAGACCACCCAGAACACCATAGCAACCATATATATGTATATGTAGATGCTTCATTCGACAGCTCCAAGCACATAGACCTGTCCGCCAATAGGCTTGTTCGAGATGCATAGGCGCTGCGCAGATCAATCAGCGTATGACATCAAAGTACCGTGAGAGCAGATGACTCTTTATGCTTTTGAATTGCATAATTCAAAAGCATAAGACACCTTTGGCCCAGACTCTGTTGCTATCTGGGAAGCCAAGCATAAGAATACTAATGTAAATTTGTTAACCGACTGTAAAACATTTTTAAGCAATTAATCGCCTACTTTCGTTTGCTGCATGTTTAAAAAAAAGCGTAATGTTATAATGTACCAACATTACAAACATCCCCTCACTCCACAAGAAATCCTTTAAATTGAACCGAATTCAGAATAGAACAAGAATGAAAAAATTATATATATAATTTATTCATTTCTAATGAATAAATATAATTGCAGTATATAATATAATAATATAGGCCAATTCGTTTAAAGCAAAACTAAAAGTAAAGTTGGGTTCACGTAGCCTACCTCTCTCATTCAGCACAAATCCAAACGTTTCCATATTCGCAATGTATTTGAACCAAAAATATTATTTATTAGCTAAACTGGGCTTTTTACTTCACGCGCGTTCCAATATCAATGGAAAAAAATCATATGAGCGTATGACATCAAAGTACCGTGAGAGCAGATGACTCTTTATGCTTTTGAATTGCATAATTCAAAAGCATAAGACACCTTTGGCCCAGACTCTGTTGCTATCTGGGAAGCCAAGCATAAGAATACTAATGTAAATTTGTTAACCGACTGTAAAACATTTTTAAGCAATTAATCGCCTACTTTCGTTTGCTGCATGTTTAAAAAAAAGCGTAATGTTATAATGTACCAACATTACAAACATCCCCTCACTCCACAAGAAATCCTTTAAATTGAACCGAATTCAGAATAGAACAAGAATGAAAAAATTATATATATAATTTATTCATTTCTAATGAATAAATATAATTGCAGTATATAATATAATAATATAGGCCAATTCGTTTAAAGCAAAACTAAAAGTAAAGTTGGGTTCACGTAGCCTACCTCTCTCATTCAGCACAAATCCAAACGTTTCCATATTCGCAATGTATTTGAACCAAAAATATTATTTATTAGCTAAACTGGGCTTTTTACTTCACGCGCGTTCCAATATCAATGGAAAAAAATCATAACGAGCAAAATGGCAAAACGCTAAATGGCACGGATTGTAATACAGATTATTTAAATTGACTAGTGTAACTTATGTTTGAGTGACTGTATTTTATTTTGATAATGAACAGGCTGTGCTGTTTGCAATGAATATATAGTGTGCGCATGAGGCACCGGCATGATCAAACAACTGAAACATAAAACCTAGCAACCACCCATAACACCCTAGCAACCACCATTAACACCTTAGCAACTGTCCAGAACACTCAACCACCTACCAATGAAAAAAATTTCACACACACACACACAGGAGCGTTCATGCTTTCTTTATTGCCTGCAAGTCCATGTTAAACCAATATGGTGGCCTGCTATTGTTTTCCAGGGTTGTAATTCTCGTTATGAATCCAGACTGAAGATCTGGCTTAAGGCTGTACTGTTTATTTTTCTTCAGGCATTGTGAAATGAACCGGAGCAAACAAATAATGCTCGAGTGCAGAAAGCTGAGCCAAAATAATGCTCCTAAAAGCTCACTTTTAAGCTCAAATCACAAGTGCTCGGGAAACATTTTAAGCGTATCGATTGCATTTCTCTGAGTAAATGAACCTATTGATGTATCAGTGAAAGTGTTTTGGATGGCTGTGCTGCCGCACGTCTCACTAATGTGAACTGGATGGACATTTCTACTACTTCGGTAATGCATTAACCCACTCCCTGAAACTGATGCTCTTCCTCACTACAACAGCAAGAATCTGCACTTAATATTGATTTCTGTAATTACTGTACTTCTTTTTCGGAAGTACACACCACCCGATATTTCACCGGTTTTCGACTATTCGGATGTTTTGCTGGACATTGTTGTCGGGGGAGCTGCTGCGCTGATCAAGCGCTTCAGGGGAAATGTAGGAGTCCGACTCAAACTGTTTTCGAATTCTGCTGTTGCTTGTAATAACGAGAAAATTCATCTCTGATTTGTAAAGATCATGCAGCAGCCATCTTGCATTTCTTTAATAAAAAGGTGGTAAGACTTGCGCATACAGTAGACTTGCATGCGCCCCTTTAAATAATGAAATACTCGTCAGGATACAGCATTGTTTCACAGTGTTTGTAAACTGTGATTGATATGTTTTGATAAAGTATCTGTGATTAACTGTACATCAATAAATGACAACAATCCCGTGCTATGAACACTGTCACTGTCACTGATTTTTGAACGCGGAAATGTGATGAAGGTTCTGATCTCTATAAATTCTATATTGGGCCTGTAGATCAGTGGATAAAAGGCCTGTCATGTCACGTACAAATAGACCTATGTCTTTTTAACAAAACGTACTGTTTTTATCAGAAAATGATTGTTTTAATGACATAATTATGTTGTTTAAACGACATAACATCTCGTTATAACGACATCCCTTACAGAAATTAAGCATGGTTTTACTACAAATCACTGTTTGCGATGCTCGAAATATAGGAAGACAAATATGTGGGGGTTTATAGGAATGTATCTTTGAGAAGAGCTGAATGTCTTCAGAAATGTTTCGATGGAATTTTCTTTTCCTCTTACCTCATATAATGCATATTAAAGTAAGCTGCTTCCCAAATGACGCACTATACACTCATACACTATGTGCTTATGCACTATGTACTCAACCATGTATAGTATGAATCATATAAGGTTATTTTGTCATTCATAATCGTAGCCTGATAGTCCCTCCCCCTTCTCTACGTAATTAAAGCTGCGACAGTTGAGTGCATGAAGTGTGCAACATTCCACACTTTTGTTTTCGGGCATTTAATGTGCACTTTTTCTTTTTGGAATTTTCAGTGTGAACGCACTACTCGTACTGTTTATACTAAAAAAACGTCATAGAATAGTGGATAACGTGATTTGGGACGCACCTTCACAGTAGTGTTTAAGTCCATCTGCTGTTTTTGTTTTGTGCAGGTGTCTTACATGGCATAATTTCCCAAATCAGACCGTTCTGTTTTTGCTTTAAATCGTGAAATTATACAATCTAATTCAAATCAAAACAGAGGCAGACTTAAATAACATTCATTACGACTATTCAGTGTGTATGTAAATAACTGAGTAAATACCACAAGACGTCCCTTTCTATAAGAACAAAGTGTCTGAGCAACAGTTTTATCCTGACGGCAGCATGTACAGTCTCTGTACAGTAACAGCTCTCATCCGATGTGAGCTCAGCCTAGTGATCCCGCATGCCACTTCTCTTCCATCTTTATTTGTTTGTGGTTAATTTGAGTTGGATTTGTTTTGGCCCGGCCCGGCTGTCCTTCCATCTGTCACAGCTGTGATGAAACACAAGGACCTGTCGTGATGCCCACTACCCCATCCGCCCACTCATTGCTGACGTCACTCGTCCTCTCGCCACGTCTCATCATCAATGCTCGCATAATCTTCCCTTGTTTAGTTACTTGCCATTTTTAGGTTCTCCCAGAGGCCATTTTCTTGCGTTTTCATTTGTGCATTGATGCTATTTAGAGACTATAACCATAAAGGCTCCTACATTCAGAATGCAGTGTTATTCCCTGTCTGGCCGTAGAAAAGCACAAACAGCCTCCGTTAAACAGTGTGAATGGATTTATTGGAGCTGTCGTTAATCCCTCGTGATTGGATGTAAGTTTCAACTCGACATTCATAATCAAGGAAACAGGAAACAGGCCAAGACTGAGGAAGCAATGTAATGTTAATGAGGCACAGCCACCTCTGAAAGGTTTTTCATTTCAGATATCTGCACAGAAATGGCCCTTTTTGTTTATATTTGTTGACGGTGGCAAATGGATTGGCACTGAACATAATTACAAAACTAGTCTGAGTAACTAATGACAGAAGCAAATAGATTATATACAAGACCTTGTTCTTGTATTATGTCTGACCTATTTAAAACTTCTCACGTACTACAAGCTGCACGTAAAGACTAAACATGCATGTCTAGGGTTGGTCTTAACATTCAGAGATATTTTAAAAGCATTCAGACTGTACAGATGAACCATGTTCACCTACATTGTGAAATTGCCTGTTACAGCTCATGTTCTTGTTTTAAAAGTATGTAAATATTTGCAGGGCTCAACAATAAGAATTACAGGGTCAGTCTCCCTTGAGCAACTTGAATGAAGTTTCACGGCCCATAAAACACCTCTTGTTGAACTGAAACCTCCAACCTTTTGGACATTTAACCACTAGACCATACCACCCCAAAAAGAAACACTTGCAGTTCTCCATTCATCCATTATTGGTGGTGCTTGTTTCATTGAGTCATTGTGTTGTGGGGAGATGGCGTGTTACTTTTCTAAGAAATCAGACTTATAATTTTGTGGAGATTCGTTGAGATCTGTTACGCATTGCTTGGTGGATTTGTGCTTCTTGAGATTTAGATTCAGATTTGTGATTTGCAAACCAGTTTGACAAATTTAAAGGAACCAAACTGATTAAAAACATAATTTGCAAACTGAATACTGCTATGACTGATCAGGAGAGATTATGTCAGATTTTTTTGGACTTGGCAGTTTCAAATATAACAAAAGATAACAAAAGGAAATGTATCAGAGTAAAATAATCAATTTTCTGTTTAATATGCAGTACAGTAAAAGTAGAAGTCAACAGAAGTATATATACTCGAGTAAAGTACAATTCTGTCAGGACCACCATCGTCAAAGATGATTGACAATTAGCATACAGTTTGGATTGGCAGTATGGTTCCGTTCTGGGCAAGAACTCCCTGCGCATCCATGCAGCCTAGCATGGATGAGAGCAGGGAGAGCAGCGATAACCCCCCCAGGGTAAACAGAACAGAACCAACATAAATGTATGCAGATATCGTTAAAGTTCAATAATGTTATGTACACATTTTAGAATTAGTCTGATTCAAAGGATAATCGGAAGGCTGAATCCTGACTGACAGAGGAGGAGCTGGGGATGGAGGAGGGTAATTAGCTATTGAGCAATGCGAAAACTGCTGATACTACTGCGGGACCTTATATATGAATGCTTAGATAGGTGTCGTATTCCCATAGGTTGATGGGGATCAGCTGAGAGTCAGCTGATGCGAGCTTGACTAACGTGACCTGCCAGAACTAACGCTACGCTTGATATATCTTACATATTTGTACTTTTTTACCATACATCACTGGTCCTTGTAGGTTTGGATTTCAAATTCTTGTGAATACTGCCATTGAAAATTACAGTTCTAGTTTAATGACGTCTAAATGCGAAGAGAAAACTTCCGACTGATTTTTTCTTTTTGTACAGTTTCGGTATTGTTATCAAACTTAATAAAGTTCCCGTTGTGTTCCCACAGGATAGTCGGACACACTGAACCTTACACCAAACTATGCTGCAAAGGCTTCTGCATAGACATCCTGAAAAAGCTCTCTCGCAACATCAAGTTCTCCTATGACCTCTACCTGGTCACCAATGGCAAACATGGCAAGCTGGTACGAGGGATCTGGAACGGTATGATCGGAGAGGTGAGAAAACTAGGCTTCACAAAACAAAATTCACCCAATTTACTTTCTTAATACACATTGCTGGTCTTATTTTAAAGGATTCAATGGGCTTCTGCATAATCTAACATATAATTATCAATGTCAACATTCCCACACCCTCTCATTTTTCAACTCCTCTCCTCAAACAACCAGTCATTTCAATACCATTTTTCACCATCCAATCAATTCTTGATGGATAAAATTAAGTGCCATTCTACATTTTGTTAAATAAAATACTTAATTGTACATATAGTAAGTAAAGTGGGTTGCAAATGCTTTAAATGTTTTTCATATAAAGCTATTATTTTGATATGGCAGATTCTAATGCAAACTAGTTCTACAACATGTTTAGCATCTGTGATGTCAAGCTAAACAAGAAAACAAAACCTAAATCTATATGAGAGAAACACTGTTGACTCCAGAATGGCTCTAAAAGCTTATTCATTCCAGCCGACGTGACTGGCATTGAAATTACACAAACAACCTTGTAAATAAACATCTCCATCAAGTAAGTCGACGTCTGATGCACAGCGGCATCTAAAGAGTTCCAGACTGTGACTTGTGCTCCTGCTTTGTCCTGTAGTTTTTTTTTTCTTTCTGGGATGCAGAAAAGCTATTGTGCTCATTCGTGCATTATGCATGGTGTGGGTTAACCAAAGAGAGAGAGCCTGGACTGTAAATCTGCAAACACACGCACACACACACACACACTCCCATAGTGATTACTGGACTAGCACAGCCACAACAAACATGCTTATGGATTTTAAAGCCACAATTCACCTAAAAATGAAAATGTCCAAACCCATATGACTTGCTTTCTGCTGTAGATGTCTAGTTTTTAATTAACCTCTATTGCGTAATCTTTTATATATATATATATATATATATATATATATATATATATATATATATATATATATACATACACACACACACACACACACACACACATACATAGAAAAAAATATCAATTTTCACTCGGAAATTGCAATTTTACTATTAATTAAAAACAGCAAGTGACACATTCAATTAAAAATGAATGCTGAACTGAAACTCATTTTTTTTACAGTGTGTATATATATTTGCATCTATCTTCTCAGGTGTTTTATAAGCGAGCGGACATGGCCATTGGCTCTCTGACCATAAATGAGGAGCGCTCGGAAATCATTGACTTCTCTGTGCCGTTTGTGGAGACTGGCATCAGTGTGATGGTGGCCAGGAGCAATGGAACCGTGTCTCCATCAGCCTTCCTGGGTAAGAAATACAAAAAAAACAGCACAGCTGATCATGTTTTTACAGCTAAATCATATAGCAGTGGAGTATGTACAGTATAACTGAAATCCATTTTTATCCGACATTTTCTGTGAAGAAATTATTTAGAAATCTCACATTAATGTGATTAAAAATGAGATCAACAGCTGAAGAATCGTGCCTAATTGTGTTATTTTAATATTATTAATATACTATTATATTATTTATTTATAATTTATTTTTATATGTTGAGTTTTTATTTAAATTTTAGTGTACATTTAGTGTTTTAGATTTTTTTTTTAATTCTATTTATCTTTCATTTATTTTTATTTCGGAATTTACCAATTTTTGTACTTCACCAAACTTACATTATTTTAGTTGCTTGCCAAGGCAACATTAACATTACTTATTTTCTTTCAAGTTTTTAATCCTTAAAATATTTCCTTGTTATCACTTTTAGTTAATAAAAATGAATCTTGTTCTTAACCGACTTGTTCTTGTTCTCTGTTCTTAACCGACTACAACAGTGTTGGCTTGTGAATCTTAAATCCTATGTTGACACTATTTCATTTTCACTGATGTGGCTGGTTAGTCATCCCATAAATCCTTTTGCACATTTTTCCATTATACTGCAAACAATAAACTTTCCCAGAACCCAGAATTCATAGTAAAATACAATAGCATACTGTCATTTCATAACACAAGATGTAGTTATGAATATTTACAATGCAGTCTCGTGTTTGTTCCTCTTGTTTAATGGCATATGAATCGTGTTGACCTTAATTTGCATCTCATTTTGCACGCATCATATACAAATTTAAAAAGGTTTCACAGTCCTACTAGAATATAAACCCTGTCATTTGGGAATAACGTCATTTGCTTTGTCTGTGTTTGTCGTGTCGTCTCTCTCTCTTTCCCTCTTTCAGAACCCTACAGCCCAGCGGTGTGGGTGATGATGTTTGTCATGTGTCTTACAGTCGTGGCAGTGACTGTGTTCGTCTTCGAATACTTTAGTCCTGTGGGCTACAACCGCAGCCTGGTCAGTGCCAAAGGTCAGTGTTCACCGCCTCTGCTAACACTTCAGGAACTGTGACAGATGTCAGGAACAGTGGCAAACTGAAACTCTGTTCATCAAACATGACAGGTTTGACAGAACATAAGCTAGGAGAAAAGAGAATTAATGTATTAGAGGAACAGTTTATTGCACAGAGCTTGTGCTTTCATAGCTCAGGTAAATTCATTGAGCTCTAATTTATGTTTAAATCTTAATCTTAATCTCATGTTTTGTTTTTTTCATGAATTCCTTTGGTGAAATAAATATAGACACAAATGACATTTCATTAGGTAGATAAGAGTAAGAGATCATTTGGTTTTGGAAGAGCTTGATGAGAAATGTTTGAGTTCATATTGAGAAATCTGACTTTTGATTGCAGACTTCGGAATATAAGCACAGTTTGAGATCATCGCTGTGTAGGAGAAGCAACTGAGATATTAAGGAAGATATTAATATTATGGAAGGTCGCAGTCTTTCTTATCTATCTGAACAACAAAAATCAAAATACATATCTCACAGATACAAGATCTCTCAAAATACGACATATCTCATTTATGTCAGTGACCTTGAAAATATTCAAAATAATGTTCTATTATTATTCAAAAAAATGGTTATTAGTAATTTTACTAAAATTCTAAAAAAAAATGGATGCATTTATAAAAAAATTAATTTTATTTGAGTGTTGATTAATTTATCTAAAAATAAATATCAATTGAATTTAATAGTTTGCTGTAAATTATTACCTTTGGTATTATAGTAGTGTGCAGTAATAGGGCTCCCTGTATAGTTTATATTATTAGCTGAGATTTTTCTGAATTTTTTTATCCTTAATTTTTTTTTTTATTATAAGTGAATTTATTTAAAGACAGAGCAAAAATATGTTAAGTAAACCACTGTTTAATAATAATAAAAATAATTAATTAATTTCTACTTAGTTTTCCCTGTTGCTGTACCAAAAAATTTACTGAACTGTGACTTCGAAACCTAATATTCATAAAAATAAATTTACAACCAAGAGCGATGGCAAAAAAACCTGATCAATTTAAATATTCTCCATTTCAGATCCAGGTGGGCCGACGTTCACCATTGGGAAGTCGGTCTGGCTGCTGTGGGGCATCGTCTTCAACAACTCAGTGCCCATTGAAAACCCCAAAGGCACCACCAGTAAGATCATGGTGCTGGTGTGGGCTTTCTTTGCCGTGATCTTCCTGGCCAGCTACACAGCCAACCTGGCAGCCTTCATGATCCAGGAGCAGTACATCGACACTGTTTCTGGACTGAGTGACAAGAAGGTAAAAGCTGCCAGCGTCTCTCTCTTAGCCAAATGGCCATTCCAGGGCATGGGTTTTAATTAAAGTCGTCACTCTGTGGAACTACAAGAGGGTTACGTGCTGATAATATACATACATAATGAATATGTACACTTTCATGATGAAATACGGTGATTAGAGTACTAATCACTAATATGTGTTATTTTAATAAGACGTTTATAGAAGCATTAAAACTGTTTTAAATGCTGGCAACATGATAAAATACTTAGAGGTGTAAGTATGATGCCAAAGGTTATTTTTATATCTTTCTATAGGCTTGTGTTGTTAATCATGCACTGTAAACTGGGTATTGTTTTAGCCATACTGATGGCTGGTAAAAAATAATTAAGGATTTCATTGCTTTAGCATGAAATGTGTCTACTAATAAATTGCATGTTAGCCTAAGCTGCCTAGTTAACTGGTTATCCTATTTAGACAACTCTGTGACACTGTTTTATCGGTTGTGTAGGGACACATCAAGGTGAAGTGATTTACAATAATACTGAAAGCTGTTACAACTGGCGAGCTTCAGAGGGAAACTGTTAAAGAGCAATTTTGTAGACAAAGTGAGACTTCACGCCACAAGACTGTCATTAAAGAGCCACACAGGTTGACTACCAGGGAATTAGACACTGACAGCAAGATGTATTTTGATTCAGGAGTGTGCCTGGGAGGCATTACACAAAGAACGAAACGCCTGAAGGGCAAAATAGCCAGAGGAAAAGAATATCATGTAGAGATGACTGTTGCTTTCAAACAGAGCAAACTTTGATAGCTGCAGTTTAGTGCACTTGTATTTGTAGCAACATTTTTTTGAATTTATATACTACATTATTGGCTTATTTTTAGCGTAACAAACATAAAGATGATAAAACACAAATTTCATTTAAAAAATATACCGGGAAAATTAAAAAACAAAGTACAACAAAGAAAAGTTTTTGAAAGTTCTTTGATAAAGTATCAAAACAGAATCTGTAAAATAATGTAATGTAATGAAAAATAATAATTATAAAAACAATTGTATTTATTAATTATTTTGCATTTTTATATTAAAATTATATATTTTTTTTAAATAGGAGAAATGGAGTGAACATTATATTAAATATGATAAATTACCTCACAGGCTTTATATATACTGTATATATATATATATATATATATATATATATAATTAAAGCAAAAGGAGCCCCTACCAAGTATTGAGTACATGTACAGTAAATGAACATACTTTCCAGAAGGTCAACAATTCACTAAAAATGTTTTTTTTTATTGGTGTTATGAAGTATTCTAATTTGTTGAGATGGTGAATTGGTGGGTTTTTGTTAAATGTGAGCCAAAATCATCACAATTAAAAGAACCAAAGACTTAAACTACTTCAGTCTGTGTGCATTGAATTTATTTAATACACGAGTTTCACAATTTGAGTTGAATTACTGAAATAAATGAACTTTTCCACGACATTCTAATTTATTGAGATGCACCTGTATATATGCAATTTTCTGTTCTACATTACTTTTTCTTAGTTAGCAGTAAACTTTTGGTGTGGTCAGGGCCACAGGACAGATGAAAGACAACGCTTATGCTGTCTTCTTCTATCAGACGACAGCAAACACACTTAGAATGATGCATTCACTGGCACTGGAGTCCGTCACATGAGCTCAGCCGGAATACAATCACATCCACTCGTTCCTTAGAGACTGTTCTCCTTCATTCACACTAGCAAGGTTACCTACATTACAGCACAATTATTCATGACTTGAGTTCTGAAGTGCTGTCTTAGTGGATATATTACATTTATTTGATATAACATTAATGGCAGTTAATGAACATGGCCGGAATCACGTAAAAACTAAATGAGGAGAAATTTAGCAAGGGAAAAGTAATATTGAAATTCCTTGGATGTTTGGTCAGGCGGCTGAGATAATTTCTCATCTTTCTGAGGACAATCTGAGGTTCAAATGTTAGAATTTAAACAGAGCTGAGAATGAATTGACTGAGAAGCACTTGGGGCTTGAGACAGAAAAGAGCATTGATGACCCAGTGGCTTTGGTCTGAGTTTTATCACTGCAGCCATTTTTTCCCCACTTTCTTCATGAGGATTAATTTCAGTCATATTCTCACTTGAAATTAGATTGTATTTAATGTGGCATTTGCAGATACAGAATCGTGAGAATCCTTGGATGAGGGCGAAGACGAAGGCTGAACCTAAAATAAGTTCCCATACAGAAATCCAGCTTAAAGAAAAATCAATCACACTTTCCAGCAGCGTAGCTTTCCCAGCCAAAAGCCTTTACTGGCAAATCTAGCGGTCCTGGAATCTATTAAAATGCATTAATCCTTAATTAAGTAACTCATCCAGGGATCTATTTTCACCACTTCTTTAGCACACACGTGGACTGTACTTTGTTCACAAAATTAAATTTAAACATGCTAACTCTTTAAAATGTTCCCTTTCAGTTCCAGAAACCACAAGACCAATATCCTCCATTCCGGTTTGGGACCGTGCCCAATGGCAGCACAGAACGAAACATAAGGAGCAATTATCCCGAAATGCATTCCCACATGGTTAAGTACAACCAGAAAGGTGTGGAGGATGCGCTCAACAGCCTCAAAACTGGGTGTGTTTACTGTAATTGTCTCTTGAATCTTTGAAACAAATCTGTCCGCAGTGTAATATCTTTTCCGCTAACATATCATTTCTTTACTAACAGGAAGCTGGACGCCTTCATATACGATGCAGCTGTGCTTAACTACATGGCCGGTAAAGATGAAGGGTGTAAATTGGTGACAATCGGTAGTGGGAAGGTATTTGCAACAACAGGCTACGGTATTGCTCTCCAGAAAGAATCTCGCTGGAAGCGCCCCATAGACCTCGCTCTTCTCCAGTTCCTTGCTGATGGTAACTTAAACTTACTTTTGCTAGAGGAGCTCTGATTCGTAAGTCTGACGGAAATGTATTATGTGTTACAGGTGATACTCAGAACCTCCAGACAGTGTGGCTCACTGGTATCTGTCGTAACGAGAGGAAGGAGGTGATGAGCTCTAAGCTTGACATTGACAACATGGCTGGAGTGTTTTACATGCTTCTAGTGGCTATGGGTCTCAGTCTGCTGGTCTTTGCCTGGGAACATCTACTGTACTGGAAGCTACGGCATTCTGTCCGCAAGTCTGAGCGCTTGGACTTCCTGCTGGCCATTAGCAGGGTATATTTTATGTCATAAATATTCTGAAATTAATTTCACTTTTAATCTTTGGAGTTAACAAATTGTTATGCTTAGAACAATGCAACAAATCCATAATGCAGAGTAAGTCATTCAAAATGATGCATTTACAATCAGCTATGTGCCATTTTCATTTTCAATTTTTTAATAAAATCTTGTAAGAACATGCAGGTAGAAATATATATCAACAAGAACACAGTGCAAATGAGAATTGTACAAAGAAGGTTTAAATGTACCTTAGCAGAGACTTTAGAAACATAAACATGTGGTGAAATTGATGTTCAGGGGAACTCCAGGCTGTGAATGAACACCAAATGTCAAGAGAAAAGCTCTTAAAATAAATTAGGGTCTTAGGGTTATGGGTATAGCTGCCAAAGTCCCTTTTAAGCACATTCTTAAGCTTAACAAACTTAAAGACCTCATTTTAAAGGTGGAATATTACATATGCATAGGCAGCTGCTTTTCTCTATTGGCTAATTACAGACACTTTCAGAGATAATTATAATGCTGATAAACAGAGAATCTTATCAGTCACTGACAGTTCTCGAGGTAATTAACCACCCGCAAAATCAGGTAATAGAATTTTGATGTAGTAAAAATGGTTGTGATTTTAATTCATCTAGGTCACTGCAGCAAAATGATAGCAAATAAATTTTGTGAGACCTTTGCCATTCATTACTGTACTTTGTTTTCCAGTGTTTTAAGACATTTTACAGTCAAAACAATAGATGCAGTAGCTTTTAAGTAGATTGATTTTACTATATCAAGTAAAATCAAGTATAACTTTTAGGTGGATGCACTTCAAAATGCCAGCCTCATTTTTCCTTATTTGTTCCTTGAAGGGTATCTACAGCTGCTTCAATGGTGTGGAGGACATGGACCGTAAAGGGAACATGCAGAGCCCAGATGTCACCACCAGTTACACTCAGGCCAACATGCTGAAGATGCTCCAAACCGCAAAGGACATTGTCTCATCTGCGAGAGTTGAAAACTCCCTGGACAATGCTACAAAGACCATTGAGAACTGGGGTCGACGTGATCCAGAGTCAGCCAGACCTAGCCTTCCTACCTGCCTCATAGGGACGGACTTCAGCCATAGCCGCCTGCCCTGCATTGCCAGCGTTACGGACAACCACTCACCATACCCTCAAAACATGGATAGCACCACTCAGCACTTGCTGGAGAAGCCTCATGTGGGAACACGGCCTACCTCACTGCGCTACACTCTTCCCACACGTACCACCCACCACCACATCTATGAACGAACGCTACCCATATCTAGCCTCAGCAGTCCCCATATTGCCATGAGAGACCCACCACCTCCTACAGCCCCGAAACCCCACATGTATGTGGACCAGTCCTGTCACCACCCTACCTCTCGCTACGTCTCTTACCGTGACTTTCAGGTACCAGACATCTTTGTGGAACATCAGGAACCTTCGGGAAGCCATAAACAATACTTGGCAGGTCTGGGTCGCAAAAAGAGGTCCCACAGCTACGTAGCAGCATCTCCGGAAACTAGACGAAGGGACGACTATGATGTTCCCCAGTCTTGTCTGGCTGAGCTAAAAAGCAATCACCTTGTGGAAAACCATTCCCATACCACACCCTGCATGAGAAGCCACTTCCAGAGACCCGGCTCTAGCTGCAATTCCTGCACAAAGCTGTATCTAGAACCGGAGATGGATGACGTTCCTCTTCTGGGGAAAGATAAAATGAACCGCCGCGCCTCTTTTCTCAGGGCCACGTGGGGTGGTGACAGGATCCGGGAGCTGGATGAGAAGCCCGCCACCTCTGCATCCTCTACCAGTTGTATCAACATGCCCGATCTGTTCCCTCGAGTGGTGGTGACCAATCCCAAGCCTTTGAAGATGTACGGCAACACTGGTAACAACCTACGCAACAACATGGCTGTGGAGCCAGCCTATCTGGATCCAGCCCACATGGGCTCCTACCCGTACAAGCCACAAAAGTTCAAGCATTCAAAGTCCATCCGCCTTCCTTCATACCGGGAGGCGATTCTGCAGAATACGGCAGCCCTTCGGCGCTCCTCTTCCACACTAGTGCACGGACACTACTCAACATACCTGAACTCTTATACAGACCTGCCGGTGTATTTGGGTCCTCTACCACAAGGACCCACTCATTTCCATGATCATTCCAAAGACACGTGCCACCTGTTTCCATGCGCCAACCATTGCCCAGAAAATGCCGCCTTGGTTCCCCGGTTAGGCAGCAGACATGTATTGTACCAGAGCACTGCTATTGGAGGCTACGAGGGGCCCAGGCGCTCAAACGAGGAGACATTGCACGCTTTACCAGTCACTTCCGTGCGCAGGGACCGCAGGCAGGTTCTAGTGGCACGGAATGTACACAGTCCCTATGCCCCACGGCCCTGGGGTAGGGTATCTAGTCTGGAGTCAGAGGTTTGAAGACCTTTTAAGAGATCTCCAAAGACAGTTTCCCCCAAGCAGTGAGGGAGAAACGCTGGGAACTGTTAAACGAAGTCAAGCAAAAAAGATGAAGGTGGACTAGAGGTGGTTATCTCAGTGCAATAATACCCTCAGACAGCAGGGATGGGATGGTGGAATGTACAGGTGATTACTGTGGAGACTTGTTTCAGTATAAAAAAGAGAGTTAAAAATAATGAACTGTTCTTAATCTATAATATATTGATTGTTATTTAGACCGTTTTTAAATGCCATTACACTCATCCTCTGCAAACAATTGGATGTAGCATGTTTTAAGGCAGCTTTAAAACCAAAAGGGTTTGAATTGAAAATCTGTTTTTTATTTATGCCAGGGCATTCAACCATTTTAAATCTGGAGAACCACTGGAGAATTTTATAACATAGCCACACAAAAACGTCTTCCAAGAATTTTCTAAATCCAGGGGTTTGAGAAAGCCATTAATTGTCCAATTTTGTCACTCCACCAATGTAATTCAGATCTGATTTCAAGAATGGTGAAGAATTGATTTGCCATCTGTTGATCCACAGCAATTTCACTGTTTAATAAATGATGGGATGGCCTTGAGGCCAACTGAAAAGGACTACTGTCTTTAAGTCTTCTGCAAAAGAAAAAACTAAATAGAGTGAAAACGATTCATTAAACAGCTGCATGGTTACATCATTTTAACGCATTGAACCAAACAAGTCAAATGTAAGATCAGACATGATCTTGCACAAACAATCTCCCAAAAGGCCTTGTGTTACAGACTTAAGGTGCTAATCAACTGTGAAGTAATGAGGATTTATTTTGGAAATATTAAAATGATTTCTAGTAAAACAAAGAAAGATTAATGTCAGTGCTCAATGAGCCTGTGACATGCTTTTACAAATCCTCCCTAAGAATGAATTTTTTTTAAATAACAACTAGCCTTCGAAATGTACAACTTTCTGAAATCTCATGCATTTTGCACTGTAATTAATTGTTGGCTACTGGTAAGCAATGCTATAGACACTCTCCTTTAATTTTCTTGCTCCCTTAAAGTTCTTGGGAATATAGAGTCTTGACAACCATTGTCTACAAAATGGTGCATGCATATAGCCACATAAATGTATCCCAAGATTATATATGACCTAGAAGAAAGAATGTTTCATGAATACAATTTCACTCTCCATTCACTCTACATAGTGGCAAGTGCATTACTATTCATACTTGCAAAATGGAAAAACCATTACATCTGCAGATTGAGAGCTGTAGGACTCTTATATATCAGTGAAGGGAACGCACGGACTGCATTAAAAAGGCATAAAATAACAGTACGGCATTAAACAGCGGTCTTTTATTTGCTGACCTCCTGTTTTGAAGCAGCCTGTGGAGAAGTCAACGCATGGTGAGTAGGTCAAATGCTGACTCAGCGTGGAGGTTATGTGCTCTATGAGAGCAGTTTAATCCCTCTCACCTTACTATATCTTTAAGATGTGATGTGGGTTGCTAACATTCATCTTTCCTGTTGAGTAACGTTGTGGTCTTAGCCCTTCCTGAGGACCCTGGGGTTCCAGTGCTCTGCCTGTAAAGTGCAAAGATCAGTATAATAATGGTTGGATGAATGGCTGATTGACCCTGGGGAATAGTATGTTTAAGCACCCCAATTTAGGATGATGAACATCTGGGCATTGAGCCAATCACAGGGACACGATATCGACCTAAAGTGTACACCTACCTTCATTTAGTACCCTTGAGATGGAACAAGATGGAAAAGTGACCACGAGGACCAGGCTCTTGAATGAAGAATGAAACCTTGAAATCTCCTTTAAGCAGTACCAGGAGTTGGTGGGTTAGTGGCGAGAGAGATAGCACACTGTCTGCTGACAGAAGAAGCTTTTCATTAAGAGAGATTTGGTCTGTGAATGTGTGCAATTCATTTTGCCGGTCATTGTTATCAGCGCAACTTTATCCGCCAACTTCCCAATCACAAGATTTATTGTCTCATCTCAAAAAGAGAATGCAGTTGGCACACAGAAACAATCTGAGGCTTATCCTTTCATATCCACACTCTGATCTACTATGGTGTTTGTCTGAGCCACAACATGAATAATTGGACATTGGCAGACACTAGTCAGATGACTTTGGGGCTCATGAATGTACATGAGTGGGAGAGAGGCATGATGATAACTGGGACGTGATGGATGAATCTATTTCATCAGGTCTTGCGCAGCACCTCTGATGGGTGGGGTTTCAGGGAAGAAAGGGCGTGGCTGAAGATCAAGAGGTTAAGGTTTTAACGATGACCTCTGAAGGAAACAAATGACATCAATATTGAAAGTCCCACACTGCTGAGATTTATCAAAGCTAGATGACAGACCTGTTCTTCAGGCGATCAATTTTTAAGCCTATATGAGCTATCATTTTTCATAACTGCATTGAGATGAATAATGATTTCAAGAGGCCTTATTTAATTGTATCTAATAAGAAAGGTGGGATTGTTGACATGACAGATCATACAATGTCATTAAGGCTGTGATCAATGAATGCTGAATTCTGTTAAACAAAGTGGAACAAAAGAAAGAGTTTTAAATTGTAGGTGGGTAACAAGAGCTGCAAAAATAAAATAAATGAAAAACAGCAGTTTTAAAGAATATTTTTTTAATCTGAAAGTCTCTCTTTTTTTAAAAGATTAAAGATGAAGTATGTAATGAGTTACTCCCCAAAAAAGCCCCGCCCCCTGCTTGCACCATGGGTTGAGCCAAAACAAGCAGAATAAGAATGGAGACTTACTTTTGTGAGTGGAGAATGTATTTAAACATTGAAGAAATAACAAACATACCATGCAAAACTCCAATCTCTAAACTTACCAGGTAAAATACTTTTTTTATCAGAGTAGCGACAAACTGGATGCACAGTATCTGCCATTGGTTCTCATCACATCACGTCAATGCTCATTTGCATAAAATGTGGACACACCCACCTCTCATCATGTTGCCCCAAATCAGACACTTTCATTGAAAATGAATGACTTCTGGTTGATTTATTGCTGCATATCGCTGTCAGCGTAAACACACTTTATTGTACAATACATGTTTCTGAACCAAACCAAACCAAACCAAACTTCCATCTTATTCTAGACTATAACACACAAGCAGACCATATGAGCCAGACACTACTGCATTAATGCAGATAGGAAAGACCTCATCAGCAATCTGCTTGGCATCCACCAAGGTTCCAACAGACCCCGCTGCAGACTATAAGCACTGCCCTTTCCGTGTGCATTGGAATGAGCCTCGGTTTTGTGGGCAGATGCCATGACATCTTGGGGAGCTCATCAGTGTGCACCATGAGTGAGGTGGCACATGGACAGTAAAGCTGGTGTCAATGCTGCGAGCGGGGCAGCGGCAGATTGCTGACCATGATGGCATCAATGGATCATCATCCATTACTTTATGGGCATGCAGATGGGTCTGGCTCCCATTGGGAGGTCCCTCACTGCTGGTCACTCAAATGGACTCTCATATCTCTCATGGGTGCATAGAGATGAGCTGCTCGGATAATGGATAAAATAGCTCGACAGATTACAGTATGGTAACTAGATGCATGCATTTTTCTGAAGAAATTCTGAATGGTGCATGCATGTGGAAAAAAGTCGGCATAATGCCAGGGTGCTGCTATGCAGTTGATTAGTTCTGAGCAGTGTTAAATTAAAAGTTTTTGTTTTAATCACAGTCAAATTCTAGCTTTTAAATTTTAGTAATGGCATCATGTCATATTCAGACATTTTAGTCGATTAAATGTTTTAAAGGGATAAATTCACCAAAAGTGAAAATTCTGTCATTAATTATTCACCCTCATGTCCTTCCAAACCTGTAAGACCTTTGTTCATTTTTGGAACACAAATTAAGATATTTTTGATGAAATCTGACAGCTTTCTGACCCTGCATAGACAGCAATGCAACTACCATGTTCAAGGCCCAGAAATCAAAGGGGTCATAGGATGCCCATTTTCCACAAGTTGATATGATTCTTTAGGGTCTTAATGAAAAGTCTGTAACATAGTTTGGTTAAAATTTCTCAATGGTAGTGTAAAAAACACCTAAAACACCTTTTTTACCCTGTCAAAAACAGCTCTTTTCAGATCAAGCCATTTTTGTAGCATTTTCCTTTAAATGTTAATGAGCTATGCTGACCCCGCCCCTCTCTTCCGAGCTGCTCTCAGAGAGACTGTTTACTTTAGCCGCATTCATCGTGAAACTTGCTAATTAGCACATTATTAGGAAAGGCGATTTGCAAAGATTCATTACAACACATCTAACTTCTTCTGTAGGCTGGATCATGAATGATTCGCGCAAACATAGACACATTTATGTAGATCGGGGGCGCATTCCCTTCAGAAACAATGTAATCCACTGCGAATTCAGCGGCTCAGATGTCGGGAGTAAATGACGACAGCTATGTTCATTATTACATCCAACAACAAAATACCTCAAGGAGGGTGTTACCTGAGGAGACATTTTTGTCTACATCTGCTCCTGCGGTGAAACAATGGCGGACTGATGACAGCTCACTCAGGGCGGGTCTAAGTTAAGACACCAGTCCAGTCTGTGCTGAAACGCTACTGTCAATCAAACTATCGTGGGAGGGGCATCTGAGATCGGCTCGATTTGAGAAAGGGGAAAACATTTAACCAGATTTAAAAAAAACACTGGGTGGATTTTTATCATTATAGGGTGGTTGACGTCACACACTGCTAACACACATTTCAGTTCAAACTACTTGTAAAAGTGCATGTAGCATCCTATGACCCCTTTAAAGTTGAAACACTGATGTCACATGGACTATTGTAACGATGCCCTTACTACCTTTTTAGGCCTTGAATGTGGTAGTTGCGTTTCTGTCGATGCAGGGACAGAAAGCTCTCGGATTTCATTAAAAAAAGCTAAATTTGTGTTCTGAAGATGAATAAAGGTCTTGCGGGTTTGGAATGACATGCGGGTGAGTAATTTTAATTTTTGGGTGATTTATCCCTTTAATTGGTTGCAAAATTAAACCAAATTTAAAGATTGTATTTATTATTTTAAACATGCATTTACCAAAATCAACATGTAAAAAAAAATTTACCTTGTTATGAAGTCTTCATACTTTTACTGTCCATGTTTTAGCACTAGCAACGTGTTTCAGTTTACAGCCTTTTTCACCTTTCACCTTTCATTAAATATCAATCTATGTCATTTAATGTGTAGCATATTTGTTATTCTATATGAGTATTCTAGTTTCTTGTAGTCAATCCCTAAATGAATCAATTCTGCGATTCTGAGGCACTGAGAATGAAGAATCGATTCTGGGTGATTGTGTTCATTACTTTGATTTCCAAACTGCACATCCCAGAAGAACCCTATACTATGGAATCCCTATGGCGACATGATGATGGGAAAAAATATGATTATTATTATTTATTTGATTTATTAGCATTATATTTTTTTGGGGACAATTCTTTGATTCTATGAATAGGCAAACTGGCAAACTGCTGTCCAATGAAGCAACACGCTGTCAGATAACCAACAGTTCCACCAATTAAGCACTTGAAGCACTTGT